TCTTATTCTTTCCTTCACCTCCTTTTCTCCTTATTTTTCCTCCTTCTTCTTCTGCTCTTCTCCTCCTCCTTCTGCTTTCTTCCTCTTATTTGCTCTTTGAAGAGCAAGGAATCCACTTCTTAATTGCTGTTGTTACCAGGTCCACCCTGATCCAGGATAGTGGCACCTGCTGGGGTCCCAGCTATGGGCAAATATTGAACCTCCAAACAAAACTCTATGAAAGTATAAAAATACATTTTTATAGTAAAATGACCAACAATACCTATTTATAGTAGAATTACCAACAATGCATTTTATAGCAAAATGACCAACAATACCTATTTATAGTAGAATTACCAACAATGCATTTTATAGCAAAATGACCAACAATACCTATTTATAGTAGAATTACCAACAATGCATTTTATAGCAAAATGACCAACAATACATTTTATCTGTAGTTGGAAGCATGCAGTTGCATTCAAAATATTAAGTTGAAGCCATAAAACTGTTTTTAAAATATTTAGATTGGACCTGAAATAACCTATGGAGGTTGATATGTCACAAAACAAAATCAACCACATAAAAGTAAGTGAAGAATTTACTTTTTGTTCAAAAATTTGCAAGTTGCTTTATCACTAAGACTATAAGTGACTCTAAATTTGACTTTGAGACTTGGTATCTAATTACTTTACTGTCTTGAACAGCCCAACAAGTTTTATTGTTGCTTGTGTTGTACCTGTGTTCTTTGTTGCAACTTTTATTTGTAGAACATCAGCAATTTCCTCAGTACTCCAATAATTGCCAGCACAACTGTCACAATGTGCATATCCTGTGTAATTTCTTTAGGTTTAGGTCTTATGGCCATATCATGTTGAAACATTGGTTCCCATATGATCACTGAAGTTAAGCATCATTGAACCTGGTCAGTACCTAAATGAGTGACTGCTTGGGGATACCAGGTGCTGTAGGTTTGGGTGTGTAAGTGGTTTAATAGACAATGGCTTGGAATTGTTAATTGGAGAGCTGAGTTCTAATCCAGTTGGGTTCGTTACATTCACTTACATGCAAATACCCTTGGGAAAGGTATGAATCCATCTCTTCTCCCCCAGGCTATGGGTTAATTGGTAAGACGTGTATCACTAAACCATTATTATCTCAAAAAAATTCTTACAATTTAAAAAAAATTTCTGGTTTTAAATAACCTGCAATGGGTTGATAAGTCATAAAAAATAATCAGTTTCTTTAAGTTTGTTTTATTTTCATTCTGTTTTCAAGTTTAATTATTTTTATATACTTCATACTTACTTCATACTGTTTGCTTTAAAGTTTGAGGATATTTGATTCAAAATTTTATCATCATCATCATCACCTTGACTTTTGTAATCTTAGGACAGAGCCGAATGCAGAAGCCACACTCTTTTCCACAATGGTCTATCAATGGCAGCCATCAGCAATTCTGCTACAGTCATACCTGTCCATTGTTTGACATTGTGCAACCAGTTTTTGCATTGGCATCTTCTCCTATGTCCATTTTCAATGGTGCCTTGCATGATGGTCTTCCACAGGCAGTCGTGCCTTGTAATGTGTCCAAACCATACCATTTTTCTCCTCTTGACAGTGGCAAGAAGAGGTTCCTGGTGTCCCACAAAACTTTCAACCCTTTTCCGCACAAACTCATTGGTTTTTTTTTTTTGTTTCCAGTAGAAAATGCCAAGGAGTTTTCTCATGCATTTGTTCTCAAATTCATGGATCCTTTGAGAACAAATTCTTAAGAAAACTTTTATAAAACAAAATTTTATAAAAAGCAGGAAAAAAAAGGAAGAGAAACTTGTCCAAATTTGAAAATAATTTATCTCTGATTTCATACAATTCAGAATTGAATTTGTTGGCAAAATTAACGAATATTATTCAACATAATGTCAACAGTTAAAATCAATACGGAGAATTCATTATGGAGTTATACTGGCAAAGATGTTTAAAAAATAAATCTCATTTGGTCACATTCTATGACAGTATTTTGGTCAGCCTATGAACTTCTCAGCTGACCCTTATAAAATCAATATGGAGGATTCCTTATGGAGTCATAATGCCAAAGGTTTTAGATTAGATTTTAACCAATTTTAATCATTCCCACAGACAACATTCATAAATGACCTTAGGGATTAGGAATCTGTTGACAGTTATTTGATTTTACATATTTTACCTATTGTGATGGACAAATGTCACCAAATTGTGCATTTTTGAATATTTATTTTTTATTTCTACCACCACCTGGACAACCCAAAAGGCAAATAATTTATTTTTTACAAAACCATTTCCCATTTCACTTCATATGAACAGACTGAGATAAAGAGTGATACAAGAATAGATAATTAGATATGAGACAGTGAGATAGATAGATAGATAGATAGATAGATAGAGGCACACACACACATATATATATATTTATATGTATATGTATGCATGTATATCAATTCAGCATGTGGAATTAGTGAATACTAAACACTTCCAATATCGTGTTGTATTGATCAGTTATAACAAATTTCAAATAGATAAGGAAATTTAACATAGAATAGGTTGTGTTAGATCGATGGTTGAAAATGGCTTTGAGTGAGTGAAATATGTAGGCCTGAGCAAAGACAATCCTTTCTCAAACATTGCAGACTGGTATTACAAAATCATATAAAAATATGCCAAGGTAACAGTCCACATCACTTGAGAACTTTCAGCAGTGGCAACAAGTAAGATGGATAACTTGAATTGAAAATAATGGAATAATCAAGAGGCTGATGTTCCAGACTACCTTAAACATAAGGCAAGAAAGAAAACCTCTATCAATACTGGAAAGAGCAATAACAACTACTGGACTTGAGAAATCAATTTTCATGAAAAATTATTTTAAGAGAAAGATGTTTATAAATCTCAACAAAAGGCAGCACTGGCTGCTCGATCAATGAATGCTAAATATTTCCTAATAAGGGAAGGGCTAAGATCACTATATATATATATATATATATATATATATATATATATATATATATATATATATATTAGTTGGATTGATGTGGGTTTGTGACCCTGAGTTTCATGCTATTTGCAATTGTCCAATAAGTACCGTGTATATATAATATATAAATAATATATATAAAATTGCATATATATATATATATATATATATATATATATATATATATATATATATATATATATATAAATTTAAGGTGTGCTATATTTATGGGATATAATGCTCAATATCAGAGACAGGGTGTATGTAAATATAAAAGTGAACATTGAAGTCAACACTCAGAAGTCACAGGCTGTTTCATGCTAGATGTAATCATTAGGCCATCTAATATATATATATATATATATATATATATATATATATATATATATAGGCAATCATTTAAATATAAAGAATATTAATAATCAAAAAAATTATTTATGTATGTATAAAGTAAGTATAAAACAAAATTCATTGAGGTCAAAGTTCATGATTGACAAATAATTATAAAACTTGAATTTTCTAATTTACCTTTTATATCAAGCCTGATAAGAAAAGGTGCTCAGCTGATATATTTCTAAGGACCACACATTAAATATTAAAGAGCTTCATATAAGTACACATTGCCCAGTGGATAAAAGCATTGGTTGGATCCAGTGAATTGACTCAAAGAGTTGTGAGTTCAATACCTGGCTACTACAGAGAAAGAAAGTTGAGTTAAAGGGAGATAACTGAGACATTCAGAAGAGGCATAGCATGTGGAGCTAGAACAATTTACCCCAGTGGACAAAATAAAGGGTTCAGTTCAAAATTCCAATCACCTGAAAAATATAATGGCTGAAACGTCATGAATATGGCAATAAAGATGGGGACAACAGTTTGAACAATATAATGTAAATAGCTTCATATAACTTTCAAAATACAGTTTTGTCACCCCTTTCCTAACCAATACTTCTTAATTCATAACCTACATTTCAAATTCTTCCCTTTACATGCTGATTACTTCTATTTAGCCATCTACTTGCACTAATGTTTAGAAAAACTGGAAACAAGTATACTGTAGGGTCCAAGAGGCTAGCTCTTTATTACTTTGGGCTGAGAATGTATTAGGATGCTAAAATTAGTGACATAGACACACACATAGCATAGAAAATAGACCTCACTCACTCTCTAATTCACCAAAAGAGTAGGTTCAATTTTCTTTCTTTCATTTTGTTTCACTCTTTTGTCTCTATTTTCTCAACCAATTCGACACTTCTAGTTTTTGTTTGTAAACATGATGCCTTCACAACTTCAGACAACGACCCTAACCTAATAACCACAAGTGCAGCTCAAGGCCAAATGTGTAGAAACTTGCTTGCCTTTAAAATCATCATTCAAAATTTTAACATTTGTCTCTTGGACCACACAGTGAGAATCAAACTTGCTACAGTTGTGATAGTCTTCAAAAATTATTTAAGCACTGTTTCAAGATGATATTCTTACTCAGTTCATTTAGCATGGCAAAAAGCTAAAAGTGTGGGACATCCAGTGAGGATCAAACTATAATAACTCCATAACCTTAGGTATTTACTAAGCTTAACTTAGTATAGCACAAGGCCAAGAGTTTGAAGCTATCAGTGAGAATTAAATAGTAATAATGATTTAAGCAACTAGCATACTAACCACTGTTCCAAAGCAAAGCATTTTTATTTACATTTTTATTTATATTTATTACTCATAGATTAGTATGGCACAAGGCCAGACATTTGGGTCACCTAGTGAAGTTTGAACCATTTTTCCACAGCATGGTGCTCGACATATTTTCTAAGCTTTGTACATTGGTATGGGACATATTTAAAATAAACTTTTTGAACCAGTAAATTGATTGACAACATAATCATCTCACCTGAGTTAGTGTTCCAACATTCAAATTGATTTTTCATTTTTTTACATATCAGAATTTTCTATTTTTCAGATGTCTGGGTGAGAGAAGTGGACCAAAAGTTAGTCTTCGACTTCTAAAATAAGAGAAATGGCTGGTGGCAAAGTGCGACGACCACAAGCTGATAAAGGGTGGGCTTGGGTTGTGATGCTTGCATCCTTTGGGTGCCACCTCATCATTGGTGGCCTGCAACATACTAGTGGTTTGGTTCGATATGCACTGCAAGAGAATGTCCAAAAGGAAAATCTACATTATGTTTCTTGGCTTGGGTCTGTATATTCTGGTCTAATCAGCTTAACAGGTGAGTCTCCTTTATATATATTTTTAATTTTTGTAGCTGTTATCTCCTACTGTCTGCTGTTCTGTTTCCTGCCTAAATGTACTGCAACCAAAACAGGACTGTTTTAATTTGTCTTTTTTAAAATATTAAAAGTAATTTTTGTCCATCTTTCAAATGAATGTGAGGCCTGAGTTAAAAGTATATGGTAATATTAGACATTTCCTTATAAGGAAACATTAATTAACTGAGCAGTCAGTACTGTTTTCAGTTAAAATTTGTAAAATCTTTTTCTTAAAACAATTTTTGAGGAAAATAGGTTTCTCAAGTCCAGTGGCTGTTTTCGCTCCTTTCCAGTATTGATAGGGATTTCCTTCCTAACTTTTAGTTTCAAGTAGTGTGGAATATCAACATCTTCATTATGTCATTATTTTCTCTTCTCAAGTCCAGTAGCTGTTATCACTCTTTCCAGTATTGATGGGGATTTCCTTCCTAACCTTTTGTTTGAAGTAGTGTGGAATATCAACATCTTCATTATGTCATTATTTTCTCTTCTCAAGTCCAGTAGCTGTTATCACTCTTTCCAGTATTGATGGGGATTTCCTTCCTAACCTTTTTTGTTTGAAGTAGTGTGGAATATCAACATCTTCATTATGTCATTATTTTCTCTTCTCAAGTCCAGTAGCTGTTATCACTCTTTCCAGTATTGATGGGGATTTCCTTCCTAACCTTTTGTTTGAAGTAGTGTGGAATATCAACATCTTCATTATGTCATTATTTTCTTGTCTAGTTACATGTACTATCCATTTTAGTTGTTGCTGCTTTTGAAAGTCTTCAAGTGATGTTGTTTCTTTTATTTGTTACAGTTCTTTGTGATTCCCTAGTGCCAGTCCACAAGGTTCAAAGAAGGATGATCATCAACAAGCTCCACACTCTTCACTTGCTCAGAGCCATTTTTAACCATTATGATTTTTTTAAGACCATGTCCCTTCAGGATATAGACAATCATGGCTCTCCACAGGTTCTGTTTCTTTATTATCTGTGATTTCCATGACATGTTGGGAAAGATAGTGGAGTGATTTCTCATTGGCCTCTTCAGGATTTTGAAATCAGAGTAGTCTTTCTCTTAGTCTGATTAATACTAGAAGCTTGAGAGCCCATTATACCCCCCTTTACTGCTGTAGTGATTACTAAGCTCTGATAAATATCAAGAAGAGGTTTATTAAGTATGATTGTTGTAGGCATGTGGATGTATTAAATAATGCAGGGCAGTTTATAAACTGCTTCAACATTATTTAATAATTTAACCCATTAACTGCCAAATTTTTTTAATGCACATTTTTGCCCAGACAGGTGTCTTAGGAGTTTATTTATTCCTTGTTTAATTTCAGTAATTACCATTGTCATTTTTATAGAAACTAGAACATCAAATATATATGTGTATAAAACATCAAAAATAATATTGATTAGAAATAATAAAAAAATACTTTTCAATATAGTCATTGTTTTTCTACTCATGAAATGTAAAATTACCACAGAAAGTGTCTTCTTACGGCTAATAATAAAAACTTTAATGGCTAAGTGTTGTAAAATATACCTCTGCAAATTCAATGTATGTAATCAATTCTATGTAAATACAAGGAATAACATGGAGTGAGTTTAATTTTAACAGATCCCCCAAATGGGACTCATGGCAGGTAATTTTAAAATCCAAAGAAGTATTTATAGACCACTCATAAACATGTTAGGTTTCATTTAAAAACAATTCATGATACAAAATGATGAGGTAAGAATATTATCAATTTTACTCTTAATTACATTAATTTGTATTTAAAGACAGGAAAATGTTTATCATTTCACTGGGCTTCATAGGTAACACATTGTGTGAAGATTTGGAGTAACAGCTTAAAACAGGCGTGTTTTTTCAAAATATATTTTTTATTATTATAATATCTTTTTTTGCATTCATAGATTCTTCACCTTCAAGTAATTGATTATAAAAAGAAAGTCTAATTTTGTGTAGCAAATTGTATAAATACAGGGTGCGATGGATAAATTGTCATCTAAATAACACAAAAATGAAATAATACTGACATTTCATTTTAACAGATATATTTAACAAAATTTCACAAAAGTATTTGAAATACTAAAGAGTAAATTTATTCAATTAAAATCACCACTGGCTTCAATCATGGCATCCATACAAATAGTGTCTTTCTAGTTATTAGAGTTTGGTTAAATAATAAATCGAGCATATAATTCTGTTAAATAATAAGTACATGGTTTGCACTACCATTTAAGTGGTGACTATAGAAACAATAAATAAAGCATATAAGCATATTAAATAACAAGTGAGCAGTCCATGAAAAATATTAAATAGGTTATATAAATATTTTAAGTATCAATTCTATAGTCAACAAAGATTAATCCAAGCATATAAATCTCTCACCAAGTGCGCTATTTATGTTATTAAATCAACCATAGAAATAAAGAGTGGAAACATTTTGGCAACATTAAACAAAGTATATACATTTGTTAAATAATGTATTAGGCTGATGATGTTGTAAACTGCTATCTCATCATTTGTATGATGATAAATTACATTTGGCAGCAAGGCCTCTGATTGGAAGATTGGAGGTTTTGAGGAGTGTGGAACCCCCTCTTAGTTATTGTTGTTTCCAGACATGGGTAAATAGTGAATCCCTGAACAAAAATCAACAATACATTTTTATAATAAAATGACCAGCAATACATTTTTTATAACAAAATGATTATGCAACATTAAAAGAATATAAACATACATTTTTATAATAAAAATACCAACAATATATTTTATAATTTACAAAATATATATCTAAAAAACATACCTTTACTCTGAAAGTATAAAATTATGTGCAAAATATCTGTAGTTGAATGCATAAAATTGCGTACAAAATATTTAGATTTCGGCATTAAATAACACATAGAGGTGTTGATATGCCACCAAACAAAATCAACCAATCAACATCTGCCTATCCTGACATTTGACCACATATACAAATCTATTAACTTATGAATGTGAAGTCTAAGGAGACATTTAATCAAGAATATAAACCTTTTAAAATCCAAAGAAGTGTCTGTGATGTTATCAGTTCTGACCTGGCATCTTGACTTCAGTCACTTTCCCACTTTGGGGGTGGGTTCCTCACACCAAAACAAGGACAAAGTTCAACATATGTACACAAATCCTCCATTTTGAGTTATTAAGTCTAAAAGATGAAGATATACATCTGTATACTTTCTGAAATAGGAAAACAAAATGTCATTTCAGGACTTCAAGCATTTAAAGTCAATACTGATTTTTTTTTTATTTAAATGAGATTTTTCTTGAAAAGATGTGTTTTCATTTCAGACAAATATTTTTTTGTGGTGAAGGCTTGTAGGAAATCAATCTTAAAGCATGAATCCAGATATTTTTAGGCTCTTTTTTTTCTTTTTCTCAGGGCCACTATCAAGTTTAATGGTGTATAATCTGGGTTGCCGGGCAACTGTTTTGATTGGGGCAACATTAGAAACGGTAGGTTTTATTGGTTCCTACTTGATTACTGATGAAAAGTTGCTCTTTCTCACATACAGCCTTTTTGCAGGTGAGCATCAAATTTTATTTCATGTTTTCATTATCAAATTGAAGAAAAATATTGCTGATTAATTCCTTTTTTCTTAAAAATGGTAATATTAGCCATTTCCTTATAAGGAAACATTTTCAGTTCATTGATTGAGCAAGCCAATGCTACTCAAGTTATGCTTTTCTTCACTCCCTAGTTGGGATCAAAGTGTAGTATCAGTTCTCCTCATCTCTAATGGTAATATTAGCTGTTTTCTTATATGGAAACATTCAGCATTCATTGACCAAGCAGATGGTAAATTAGTGGCACTTTTCTTCACTTTAGTTATGCTTTTCTTCACTCCCTAGCTATAGGGATGGTATCTAAATATAGTATCTGTTCTCCTTATCTTATATATCAATATTAAGTGTTTCATGGTAAGGAAACATTTATCATTCATTGACCAATCAGCCAGTGCTGCTTTTAGTTAAAATTTATAAAATCTTTCTCTTATAATACTGTTTTTCCAATGTAAATAAATTTATATACTGGCAGATAAAAACAGAATGAACACTTACATCTAAAACACATCTGAAAGATCAGTATATTCAAAATAGCAATAAGAAAGATCTAGACAGATTTGGATTCTTCAAAATTGCATATTTAAAATTAATAGACTACAAATCAAGTCAAGATAGATTGGGCATCTGAAAGTTGAGACCCTGAAAGAAAGAAAAAAAGAAAAAAAAATGTTTTTTTTTTTGAATTGCCAGCCTTACAATGTTTCTATTACAAATATATACTAAACTCAGCTGAGACACAAAACTAAATCTGATGTTGGGTAAAAAGATTGTGTTTTACCAAAAGCTTCCAAGTGAGAATGACTGTTGTATATTTGAGTGAGTTAATAATGATAATATAGCCGTCTCCTTATAAGGAAACATTCAGCCTTCATCAATTGCTACTCAAGATTGTCTACACTCCCTGGCTATCAGGTTAGGATCAAAGTGTAGTATCTGTTATTTCATCTTTAATGGTAATAGTAGCCATTTCCTTATAAGGAAACATTCAGCATCCATTGACCGAGATGCCAGTGCTACTTTTAGTTAAAATTTGTAAAATCTTTCTATTAAAACAATTTTTCAGGAAAATAGGTTTTCATCTTCACTATTGACAGGGGCTTTCTTCCTTGCCTTTTGTTTGAAGTCATGTGGAATGTCAACCTCTTGATTATGTCATTATTTTCTAATTGAGTTATATGTGCTATCCATTTTAGTTGTTGCTGCTATTGAAATTCCTCAAGTGAGGTGGTTTCTTTTGTTTGCTATGGTTCTTTGTGATTCTGTAGCCACAGAAGTTCACAGTGTCCAAAAAAAGATGGTCTTTGCCAAGATCCACTGGCGTCACTCACTCAAAGTCAATTTTAACCATCAATCTTAGAAAGTGGTTGTATGCACTTGACAGTTTAGATATTTCTGAATGAATTTGATGTCATGTATGACATCCACATGAAAGTCTCAATCTGATGAGGCTATTTAAGAACATGATGGGAATTTTAAGTTAATGTTTTGGTTTCATAGCAATTTGCTGTGTAACCACCTTTTTCTCAGCCTATTCTATGTTCAATTTCCTTCTCTCCTATACTAAATTTATTATAATTGGTCTATACACCAGTGTATTTGAAGTGTTTTGTATTTACTAATTTCCAATCTTGAATTTTTATGATGGATTCAGGGTAGGTGCCATCACTGCTTTCATTCCAATTCCAGATCATAGTTTCTATTTCAGAAAGCTTTATTTTGAGTCCTATTTCTTAAAACACATGGTAGAGGATCTTGATTTTTTTGTTCAGCTTATTTTTATTCTAACTCTCTGTCATCAGCATAGGTCTCCTTATCATCAGTACATTGGCCCTGGGAGGGAAAGCAGGATCATTGTCCTCTATTAGTAGACTTGTTTGTGATGTGATATGAAATGCTTAAATGAACAATACCCATCACTTCACATCAGTGTTGTATATGTGCAGTACATGCTCTGGGAAGACTGGTGCTCTCTTCTCTCTCTCTTTTGCCAGACATGTACAACTTTGTGGACTGATATAGTTTTTCTATCAGAGGAAGTCTCTATTGATGTGGTCATATGCTGCAGGCATACAATTTTCTATTAGAGAGCTATTCAATTTACCAGAGTTGTTTGATGTCAAAGGACAAATTGTGTTGTGAGGAGTTGATTTTAATAGAACAGTGAGAGTTTAGTTGATAGAATGTTCATTCATAATAGATCCATAATCGATCCAATTGAGATACCTCTGTACAAATGAGAGTTTTGAGGACTACCTTTTGGTTTCCATAGTCCATCAATCTACAATAAACGTTGCATTTTTGGATTCAGTACTTTCTTGATGAAATTTAGAAACTTTTTTTTAAATTCAGGAAGAGGGTATGCTATGTTCAACCTCAATGTCAAGTGATGCTTTAGCTTCTTTTTATAGTGTTTTTTCCTTCCTCATCTTACTGTTTGTTTGGAGACAGACTTTGTAATGATTGGATATATACTAGTGTATATTCTATTTCCACAATTATCTTCCACTTAGTTTGGTCAAAGTTGAAGCATGACTCAGAGTTTTTTCAGATTAGGACATATCTTTTTCAGTTTTAATTGTATGATATCATGAATAAATTGATAAATTGATGAAATCAAAACAAATTATTTTGAAAAAAGTTAAAAAAAATATTTGCCAATGCTTTTCCATATGTGCAATCATTTCAAATGTTTCAACATAGTCAACAGCATTTCCAATGCTTTCCTGTAATCAAAATCATCGCCAATGCCTTTCCATATATGAAATCATTGCCAAATAAATTTTTCAGTATATTTGGTTGATAACACCTCAGTTGATATATTCAAATGCTAGATATTAAATTAAAAATACAATATTTGGAAATATTGATTCTTTAAGTATTTTTTTTTTCAGGTTCAGGATCTGGTATTACATATTCAGCTGTAATGATCGTCGTTGGCTACAATTTTGACAAATATCTTGCCTTAGCATCTGGACTGTCTGTCACTGGACAGGGCCTAGGTCTTCTAGTTTTCTCTATTCTCTTGAACTTCTGTTTTGAATACTATGGCCTGAAAGGAACTTTTCTTTTCATGGCTTGTCTAACACTTCAGAAATTGGTTTTTGGCAGTCTTCTTCAACCTTCCACCATTGAAATGGCCCAGACAAAGAGGTTTTGGCATAAAGAACCTCCCTCGACTTACCCAGATGGAGATATAGAATTAGAAGTGCGGAAGGAAACAACTTCAGTCATGCTTAAGGTACATTATTATTATTATTATTTTACTATTATGATTTTGTTAGGGAGTTTGTTTTTTTTTCTTCTACTAAATGTTCACTCAATACAAGGCCACTCAAAATAGAGGGTTACTGAATGAGGTTGTTGTATGGACATAAGAGGAGGAGAGTAAGTACAGATTATTAGGATATGTAGGATAGATAATAGTTGACACTTGAAGATGTTAAGATTGTAATGTTCAGGAAACATCTTCTCTGAAGTTAGTTTCATAAAGTAATCATTCTCAGGAAGAAGCTGTCTGAGTGGAACTTCCTCCTTACTAATGGAATAGAGAGGGGATGAGAATGATTTGACCCCGTGTATGTGGCATGGTAAGTCCTAGTTGTAAAGGTCTTAACTGGTGGAACTAAAGAATGTAGATTCTGAATATTTCCCATCTAGAGTTTGAAGTGTGACAGAAGCCAATATATACTATTGTTTTTTTTTCTCAGTTGAAAATGGAGATTTAATCAAAAATAACAACTAAAAGCATAAAAATAGGAAGCTTTTAATTATTTGGTTTAATAAAGTTTAGTGCAAAGCTCCTTTTTGTTTTTTTAAATTTGAATTAGAATTTCAACTGCTTGTTTTCCAAGCATGCTGGTCCTCTCTACTTGTAAGATGGACGTATCACAATCTTCTTAACACATTATTGTTACTATAAGATTTGGCTAGATTTAATAAAAATCTGCTTGGTTTCTGAGATAAGCTTGCATGGTGACTGTGATAGGCTTGCTGGATTGCTGAGATAGGGGTATCTGTGGCTGAGATAGGCTTGCTTGGTGGCTGTGATAGGCCTGCATGGTGACTGACATAGTTCTAAATTTTTAATTGGTACCACAATTTGTTGTTCAAGCCCAGGTGGAAGCCAGGATAGAAACTGCTGATTTTCAAAATAAGTAGACTTTTTCCACTTGGAAAACTGGTCCACGATAGTCATCCTAAGTGCCAGCTTTGTTTTGATTTTGCTTGATTTGTAATATTTATTAACAGTTGTTTGGAAAGAAAAAAAATGTATGAAGTCTATGAAAGGAAGCTTGGGAAATTTTTTGCAAATTGTGGAGGAAATGCAGGAGTCAGTGTTGACTGGTTAATATGGATGCTTTGTTGGGTGGTCAGTTTGCAAGATGCTGTCAAAATTAGTTCAGTAAAAACCAAGGCTATACATTCAGTATCAATGACAACTGAAGATGGTGGTTATGACTTAAATCAGAGGTGGGCAACCTTTTTGAGAGTGTGTGCCAAAACCAGCCAAAGCTCTGACACAAAATTTTTCTATGTGCCAACAAAAATCTTTGAAACTTCAAAACTAGCAGCAACTAAGTTGGAACTGAGCCTACCTAAAATAAAGTTCATAAAAGTATCAGCCTGTTTTTTGTCTTGGTCAGTTCACAAGAAATTCATTCTCTTTTTTTCCTCTTCAGTTTTATTGCTGAAGTTCTTATGAACACTTACAAAATGTCCCTTATCAGAAGAAGTCCTACAAATGATTGTTTTGGAGCAGAAATTGCATAAGGCTTTATTTTGTTTAGTCATACCACATTTTTCACTCCAGTATTCTTTAAATTCTCCAATATCTTCTTCATTTGATGTTTCTTAGCTAATGATCATGACATTCTGCACAATCTGTAAAAGGGAGAAAATAAAAATACATGAGATAATGATAGACATGAAAGAGAAAAATAACAAAAGGGAATCTAATAAGTTTTGTGGGTGTGCCATGTTTGGCACATATGCCAAAGGATTGCTGGCACCTGACGTAAAAGATCAAGTGAGTGGCAAACAAAAAGAAAGTGGTGGTGGTGGTGGAGGAAATTGAGGTCAATATTTATTGTTGAGGGTGCAGGATTTCTTTTTTTCATGAGGGGATTGGAAAGTAGATCTTGACTATGACCTAAAACTATATCTGACAATGTTTGTAATAATGGTGTCCTGAATCATAGGAACTTATTGTCAAGTGAATGGATTTAGATATTTTGACTGGAATCTGCTTCATTATTTGTCAGTAATGTTTCATATTTATGAACACAGGATTTAAAATTTAAGTCTCAGATAAGTGCAACTGTGGGTCATGAGATAACTGAAATATAAGCATCTTGTGATAGGGTCAATATAGATGAACTAGGCAATATTTCAGACAAATTTTTTTGTGTAAAAGCATATCATTATAAAGATTTTGTTATATATGTTAATGCAATACTTTTATGTATGTTATATTCAGATTGTGATATATTCCTAACAACCAGCTATAAATATACAATAATATTGCAACATAAATTTTATATTTTTACAGCCTAAAATTTGCAAGTTAAAACTGAATATTTTAAATGTTGAAATCTGTATAGAAGTTTACAAGTCTTTAGGGTTAGATTTTTCAAACTAGGTTGAGAAACACTCATATTAAGTAAATGTTTGTCCCTTCATCTGGGTTACAATTTGTTTGTTTGTCTATTTTTTTTTGTTTTTTTTTTCTCCCACACAACAGACATAATATAATATTTTTATGTTTGTGTGTGCATATGTGTGTTGAGTTTTTTCATCACCTTGAGTTAAGTGAATTCCATATAAGAAGAGTTGTAGCGGATGGCTAGCAAACAAGTCAATATCTGGTTGATATCAGTTGGGTTGCTCTCAAGAAGGAGTTTGATGTTGTAAGACATGAAACCCTTGAAGATCCACTGGGATGGGGGAAGGAAATAACTGTATTTCACAAAATTCAGTTCCACTTTTTTTTTTTTGTGAGAGGTCATAACATTTCATTCCTTTGTTTCTATTATTCATTTTCATTAATACAATTATTAACCCCTTGAAATTTACATTTATATGCCCCTTTGAAATTTACATTTATATGCCCCTTTGAAAGGCACATTTATATGCCACATTAAAAGGCACGTTTATATGCCCCTTTGAAAGGTACGTTTATATGCCACTTTGAAAGGTACATTTATATGCCCCTTTGAAAGGTACATTTATATGCCCCTTTGAAAGGCACATTTATATGCCCCTTTGAAAGGTACATTTATATGCTCCTTTGAAAGGTACATTTATATGCCACTTTAAAAGGCACATTTATATGCCCCTTTGAAAGGTACATTTATATGCCCCTTTGAAAGGTACGTTTATATGCCCCTTTGAAAGGCACATTTATATGCCCCTTTGAAAGGTACATTTATATGCCCCTTTGAAAGGTACGTTTATATGAAACTTTGAAAGGCACATTTATATGCCCCTTTGAAAGGTACATTTATATGCTCCTTTGAAAGGTACGTTTATATGCCACTTTAAAAGGCACATTTATATGCCCCTTTGAAAGGTACATTTATATGCCCCTTTGAAAGGCACATTTATATGCCCCTTTGAAATGTACATTTATATGCCCCTTTGAAAGGTACGTTTATATGCCCCTTTGAAAGGTACACTTATGTGCCCCTTTGAAAGATACATTTATATGCCACTTTAAAAGGCACATTTATATGCCCCTTTGAAAGGTACATTTATATGCCCCTTTGAAAGGTACAATTATATTTAAATATATTCCTGGTTGGGGTACAAAATTTTATTATTGCAGTAAAAATGGACAAATTAAAAACAATGTAATAGGGGAAAATATAATTACTATAAAGAGTTAAATCAAAAAAGAGGAGAAAAAAGAGAAAAAGGAAAGAAAAAAACAGAGAAAAAGAGAAGAAAAAGGAGAGAAAAAAAGAAAAAACAAAGAAAAAGAGAGAAAAAAGAGAAATATATAAAAAGGAAAACCCTAGTCAGTTATCATTCCTCCCTCTTCAGAACTCGACCACTCAAGGAATGAAAAACATGTGTGCTACATTTAAAGTATAGCAAGAATACTAAAGACAATTATAGATAGGCATCCATTTCTCTCACAAAAAAATGGTAGCACCTTCTTTAGTCAAAATTCAGTCCTTTAGTGAACAGCATCTGAAGTGGGTTAACAGTCCAAACTTTGCATGACACTCTCTTCTGCATGTGTAGCAGACAAAGCTGGCATGTGAAATGAAGGCCTAAGATTGTTCTCTTTGCTTTCTGCCTTGTCTTCTGATCTCCAAAAATTGGTTTTGCCTTTACCTGCTCTTTATGATTCCTCCTTCAACAGCATAATGCCAGCTGCTAGATGTTCCCAGCTACCAGAGTTAATGCTTGTTCCTTTCAGGTCTCTCTTGCAGATGTCCTTGAAATCTAGTGCAAAGTGGCCTATCAGATGGAATCCTATGACCAGATCACAGTACATTACATCTTTTGGTATATGGCTGTCATTGATTTGATGTATGTGACTCAGCCACTGAAAACAACATTAACAGAGGATCCAGGAATCAAAGACTATTATATATATATATATATATATATATATATATATATATATATATAATCTCATTAATGCATGTTTCATTAAATAATATAGACAAGTTTTGTCTATTTATTTTAAGTAAGTTCCTTTCATATTGTCTGATAAGCTTAATCACATTATCATTGAAAGACAAAAGGAAAACACCATATTGATACATGTTTAAATCTAATCTAAGCTTTTGGCTTACATAAGCCATTAACAAAGATAACAATTTCAATATATCAAACAACACAGGGACGAATCAACAATGATAGTCTGCCCTTGCTGAAAATTTCCAAGTAACGACAAACTCAGAAAAATTGCAGCTTGTGACATCACACATGACCACGCGAGAGTGAAAAACGAAAATTATTAAGTATGGGAAGTCATTGGTATAAACCAATGGCTTCTGTTATAAATTATAGGCATTTAAGGATATTTGTGGAAAGCTTAGATTGGATTTAAACATGTATCAATATGGTGTTTTCCTTTCAACGATAATGTGATTAAGCTTATCAGACAATATGAAAGGAACTTACTTAAAATAGACAAAACTTGTCTATATTATTTAATGAAACATGCATTAATGTAAAATTGCTGCCTAAATATACACAATTTAAATATATATATATATATATATA